TTATGCTAAGTCCAATGTGCTTTCCTCACCGCTATCTGATCTCGCCCCGAGCAAGGTTAGCGTTCTTCTCTTCGTACTGCACTGTACTGTATTTTGTGTCATATTTTTGTGGTTTAAAAAAAAAATACATATGGTTCAGAACGGATTAACTGTAATTACATTGAACCTTATGGGAAAATTTGATTCGGGTCACGACCCATTCGGGTTGCGACCAGAGTCACGGAACAAATTAAGTTCGTGACCCGAGGTACCACTGTATTATCCTCAGTAACAACTTCTACAACTGGAAAAAGACAACCTATTCTTAGTTAGCATAATGAAAGTATTATCTTGTTTGTTATGTTTAAACAGCCATACTTTGTAACAGAACATATGAATATACACCACAATTTTTGCTACAGATGTTTGCTCCACTTTTCAATCATTTCCCACCACTATTCACTATTGCCTTTCCCCATGTTTAAACCCCCATCACACAACTCCATTTCTAATCCAGCACTAGTGAGAGTTCAGCACTTACTCGAGGATTTCGTTATATTCAATAGTCTCCTCCAAATTCTGCAGGTTGGGATTGACGCTACGTATCGCTCGCATATATGCTTTTAACAACTGTATGTCCCGTTTCTGCAAAAATGGATATTACATTAACTCAATCAATAGGACCCACAAGCTACACTGCGTCAACCAAAAAACTTCATAATATATTATAAACAGCTTAATCTACTATAGTAGCTATTAGCATTCTAACATTTATTAATGCTCAAAAATTTATACGATAACAGTGTGCAGCAATCCAGATTCAAAGGGGAAAGGGAGATTTTAACTGCATTCATATGACCTATGAGCAGCTCTTTCAACAAGGTTACAACTTTTCCCAGGCTTGGACTTCCAGCCCAGGGAAAGGCATATTTGTTTCAGCAAGATGCAGACAGGTGCAATGTGAGTGCCTCCCCACACTCTAAATTGTGCTTGAGTCTGGACTGCTGCACAGTCCTAGTATGCATGTCCAAGAAATATTCAAAATTACCCACATTTTCACTTCAGTACTACAGGATGTACACAGAAATTTTCTAAAATATAGTAGCATTTTCATTCCTCTTGTTTAGAAAAGATCAGCAGATACATAAAAGTCACCTGGCTATGTGAAATAACTAAAAAGGAAAGAAAATAAGTACCTGCTCTGCTAATTGGTGCTTATGTTCTGCATAAGTCTTTTCCAACTCAGCTATTCTTGTCTGTTGCTGTTGCACTACTGACAGTAAGTGTTTTATACAGTTATGGTTCGGCAATTCGTCTTTGGGCATTTCCAAGCTGCACAGAGAAGTAACCACAATTGAGTGCCTAGCAAAAAACTGTTTAGACGATAAGCAACCAAGAACAGAGGTAAGAGACTCTGCTCTAAGAAAACTGAGCCTGAAAGCAACAGCCCCCAAGTTACCAGTTGCCAATACTTGGTTACACCTCATGCATCACAAAAGCCACTTCACACTGAGCTTTGACAAAGGAGACTACACAACCACAGCTACTCTCACTGAGGTTTCCAGATCATGCTGTCATGTGTGATCTTCATTTATCAACAGAGCAAGCAGAGAATTATGACACGACAGTGTCATGATCAGACAAGCATACATTTGGCAATACTCACCCACATCCCTGTTCACAGGACACAGGCCGCTTTGGATTGTGTTCGCAGTCATTGAGGTGAGACATCAGGTTGTCAAGCCGCACTACAGCAGTACAACCAAAAACAGCGTTGTCACATGTGATCTGCAGCTTAGATAGCATGTTACGCATGATCCGGGGAACAGGGCGCAGGTGAGCCACAGTCACAACGCTTCGGTCGACAGGACACGTCTGCTGTTGGGAGAACCACTGGGTGATACAGGCATTGCAAAAAGCGTGCTCACAATGAGGAGCCTGTGTAGAGAACAGAGTCAAGCATGCCAATTCAGATTACATCAAGTTTGCTGCTCAAGTTGATACGGGCTCTTAATCAGCCTTCCGTGCAGTTTCTTTCACTGAATGCTTTTCACTAAGACTTGGAAATAGGGCAGAACATCCATCAATCAATCGGTTAATGTAACCAAATTATCAAGGGCATATAAAAGCACTAGTTCATTCTTTCTGTCCTTCACATCAACCCTATTACAGATCACCCTGTATTGTTCCAATTTTGGATTAGTATAAATACAGAGATATGAGAAAAGATATATAGTTACTCCCTTGCACAGTGCTCCATATACAGTGGAACCTCAGTTTACGAACTTAATTCGTTCCGTGACTCTGGTCGCACCCC